CTCTCTCTCTCTCTCTCTCGCTCTCTCTCTCGCGCGCTCTCTCTCTCTCTCGCTCTCTCTCTCTCTCTCTCTCGCTCGCTCGCGCACACACACACAATGCGCAAAACTCCGCATTTGAACAGTCAATGGCAAATACTTAAACTAATAACAAAACAGTAGCTGATTCAGAAGCTCCAGATTGTCATAGCAAAGTCAGAATTACCTCCTCTCCTAGGTTCACAAAACGGTCGTCCATAAAATGCATTGCTGTTCTCTTGTAAGCCATCTTAAAGATTCCTAAATGCATCTACTTTCGGAAGGCCAAATAAAGTGCTTTTGCTTTCGCCTAGAAACACACAGCGTCTCCCTGACATGGCTGCATCAACACGATTGCTGTTCCTGAAACCACGCCTTCTTTCTTTGCGTCCACATTTGGGCGGCATTATGCTAATATTTCCACATAGTGATGTAGATATGTGGGGGGCGTGTTAGAACGAGGCATTTTAGGTAGGCGTGGTTGACTCTTAACTTTTATAAAGAATATCTCTTTGGATTTGGGACTTTAGTTTGCAACTTTACAGATCTTCTTTATGCACCAACAGCTTGTAACACTTCAAAGAGAAAGGAAAACTTGAAATCGCATCATATGACCCCTTTAAAAAAATCATAAATTCACTTCATTTTGATAAATTTATCAGAAAACAAGACTTGTGAAAAAAATGACATTTTTGTCAATCTTGATTTAAGACTTTTTTTTTTTTTTAAATTCTGGGAAACATGAAATGTCAAACATGAGAAGAAACATCACTTAAACATAATTTCTATATTCTAGTTAAGCTTTTTCGTAAAATTAAAAAGAAACATCAGTTTGGAAGCATTTTCAAACTTTGAAGTACTGCTAATACAACATATTGTGTTCTCCTTAGAAAACACCCTTACATTTTCTTTAATAATTGTATTTACATTTTATTTAATTGGTCTTAAAAGGTCTTACATTTAAATTTTATGGAGAGATTAAAATGGATAGATGATCTGGCCTTGGGAGAATTTCATGAAAAAATGTTTGAGTTCATATTCAAACCTCTGACATTATTTTGCAGACTTGGCAAATCTGAGCTGTTTGTGATGTTGTTCTTTTCCGAAAGTACAGAGGAGACGTGTGAAGAGAGCAAAAACTGTTGCAAAATTTTTTATTTTTCATTCCTACAGGAAAGAGAAACAGAAAGCACTGATTGAATGACTAAAACGACTAGCATTACAAAGACACCCAATGTACTTTTCTCTGCAGCATGTGACCACCATGCTAGCAATTTTAGGTAATTAAATAATTCAGTTTGAGTTGCAGACATCGAGAGCTCTGACCACATTCGCATCTTATCCCAACATGTTCAGCTGCATAAAAATGCACAGTAATGTGTTTCTAAAAAATGCATTTTGGTTGTCAGGTAATGACAGTCATTAAAAATGACCCACTCCGTCCTTTCTTTAGCCCATTTTTGGGCTACAATCTGTTTACCTACATAGGCCAGATTTAGCATCAGGCAGGAAGTGACTGCAGGCATTGAGACGTCCTGTAGTTCCTCCAGGTGTCATGACACAATATGAGTGTCTGAGAGGCCGAGCTGGTCAGATGGGACGGGATGGTGCAATCTGCGGGCTTCCTGGGATCTGATTCAGGTCACGGTGTGGCACATGGTTTTGCCAATGTTTAGATCGTATCCTTAGCAACTTCCCCACCAGGCCAGAGCGTAGAGCATAGCTGATATCAATCCCATGATCCCACTGGGATTTAAACTCCTCACCTGGCGACCTATGCAATATAGAAGAGAAGATTGCCAGCTGTCGAGTCTGTGTGGTCTTTATGGAGCTAAAGAAAAAAACAGACATTTCTCTTGCGGCATACTGACCACTAATGTCATAATGACAATATGATGTGTTCAAGTGAAAAATAATAAAGGAACCAATAAGCATACACATACATAGAAGTTATAGTTTATACAAATGTGTGTGTGTGTGTGTGTGTGTGTGTGTGTGTACTGTGTATATATAGTAATTCAATTATTTATTTCTATTAAATATTTAATAAATATTGTAATTATTTAATATAGTAATATATAAAGTGTGTGTGTATATATATATATATATATATATATATAT